CTTGACAAAAAGATCAGAAATTTCAAAGTGAAATTTTGAACATTGTGACTTGTCTACATCGTGAGAATTAATCCGAAGATTCTTGAATACTACAAAAAGCTTTTGATAATGGATTCTGGAATTATACTCCTAGTTCTTGGGACCTTGTGAAATCGAAATTCTGAAAAACCACTACGCTGGTTTCGGAGACAGTTCATCTGGTCCATATAGCCTAGAAAACATACAAGGTGAATATCAGGTCATTACAAGGTCATTTATCATGATGACCTAGAAAATTCGACTTGCAAAAGTTAGGCCACAATTCTAAAATGATCTAGAAGACACACCAGATTGATATCAGGTCATTTTATGAAAAACACACCCTGGTCACAAGAACATTGAAAATTTTCACCAGATTTCTGTCCAAAATTTCTTTCAAAATTTTTTCCCTAGACGTCTTCCCAATTCTGAACTCTCTTCCAGTTTTCAATTGAGTGCACCGAGAGAATACCTAATTTTCTTTCCAGACATTCCAAACCGAAAAATTCTCATCCGGCTGGGAACAAATATTTCGAAGACATGGAACACGGAAGTTCAAAGACTGACATATCCTAGTGTGTGTTTAAATTCTCGCACATTTTTTGGGACACATAGAATTGTCATTTTGGAGAGGAATTGGGGGACAAAAACACAAGTTTTGGGTCTCAAGCCACTTCCCATTTCGGTCAGTTGACCTATTTAAAAGTTTTTAGTCAGCTTGCATACTATTTTAACCCACTCTAGACATACATTTTTACGTCAGTGATTACTCGAATTTGCCACGTGGCTAACTGAATTTCAGAGAACCCCCAATGAAACTTTTTTTCCTGATCCTTACAAGGAAACATTTTAAGTTGTCCGGCTGATTTGCATAAACCAACCGTAGAGAATGAAAGAGCGTCTTTCAAAACCTATAAAACCGTTTTCAAAATCTGCTTAAGAAACCTCTAGAAGGCTGAAATTTCAGTCCAAAGTTTGTCCTGAATTCACCATTGATTTCTCTTATCCGCTCTTCTTTTCACACGCGGAAAAACGGCCTATTTATCACCGCGTTTCTATTCTTTGTCAAGTGTGGATTTGTGGCGCAGGCGAGTAGTGGTTAAAAATGGAGCGTGGGTATTCTGGTTCGACTCCCACCCTTCTGATTTTTTTTTTTGGGTTTGTAGGGTTACGACATTCTGGAGTCACTTTTTCTCATTTATCAGAATATTGAAGACGAAATTTTGAAGAAAAAATTTTTTTCCAGAATTTTGAAAAAAAACCTCGAGTTCGAACCACTGTAAAGTAGCAGTTTTAAGGTGTTGTATTTGGGTCTACAGAGACTATGATTAAATTTGAATAAGTACACAATTGAAAAGTGTGTTAGATTTTCGATTTGTCAAAACATTTTTTGAAGATTACCACAACTTCTTCAGAAAAACTTATCCAAAAGGCAAAAAAATTTGGGAAACCCATCATATCCAAAGGGTATGAAGATTTCGAATTTTTTCAAAAAAAATTTTTTGAGAAAAAATGTCGAAAAATGAAATTCTACATAATTTTAAAGATGGGGGGACATGAAAAAATAATGTTCTCGAAATTCCGTTCAAAGATGCCCCTCGAGGAGTTGAACTTGTGAGGGCGATGATTGAGGGTGCGGCGCCGCTACCGACTGAGCCACGCGGGCAAAGAGAAAGCGCACGCCCGAGTGCATACATAAAGGCGAGGACGACAGCTTAGGCAGAGTGACATTAAGCGTTGTACACCTTGACGGTAGAATGCATACTCTAGCTACAAAAAAACTACGAAAAATCTCCTGTCCCCTCACCTTTAAGTATAATTCAAAAAATTTCATGTTCTGAAACCTCCCAGGAGTGGAGATAATCGCATTTGAAAATCGCCGATTTTGCACTGAAAATGCGATTTTTGATACTGAAACTGAAATTTCAGCACTTTAGAGGTTCTTAAGCAGCTTTTGAAAACAGTTTTATAGGTTTTGAAACATGCTCTTTCATTCTCTACGGTTGGTTTATGCAAATCAACTGGACAACTTAAAATGTTCCCTTGTTAGACTCTCCTTCCTAAAATTCTCACCCCCCCCCCCCAAACACCCTTGCGAGTTGATGACGAACGACGGAAAACTTGTTAAATTGCAGACAAGAAAAAAACAATCTGCTCCATTCATTGGATCTTCCCAAAAGAGAAAATCCTATTTTTAGAAGAGGTACGATGACATCACTGCCTCCTAAAAAGAAAGCGGTGATCTAACATTGAAAAACTTGAAAATAAAGTTGCCAATTTCGTTCAATTTAAACATACTAACAGGTGCTCTCGGGTGATGACGTGGCAACGGAGTTCCCGCGGAACCGAGGGCCCCGGGAGCCCGCGGAGTGCGCTGACTCATTTAAAAGTGGGCGGAGTCAGGAGGTGGAGCTGACCTCTTTTTTTGTCATATATAAAGCGCCATTGAAATTCCATTGGGGGCTATACATTTTTAAAATTGTTTCTGTGGTCATCTATTCGAAAGAATCCGATTTTAGAGGGAGACTTTTTATTTGACTAAGAGCTCATATTGGTGCGTTACGACTACTCCTCCCCCGAAATTTTATTTATTGTTCATCGTAATTTCAGGAGGAAGTGAAAATGGCCTTCTTTTAAGGTCATGGATTATCAGAGATCATCGCTTTTCTTTTCTACTTTCACATGTTAGTAACTTTTTGGGAAAGAAAAAAAATAAGACGAAATTGTAATCCTCACCCTTTTTACTTACTCACTTTCTTCTCATGGATGATCACAAGGGATCCTTTACTACTTCCTTTTTTTGAAAGTTTTTTTCTGAAATTTTTTCCAAAAGCCGGAATTTTCTCTGGGTTTTTGAAACTTGAAATCTGAAAAACCCGAGAACTTCAGATCTTCTAAATCTTGAAATCTGCAAACTCCCTAGGACCAGAATTTGGGAATCTCAGAATCTGATAACTTCAGAATTTCATAATTCCGGAATATCAGAATTTTAGAATTTCGGAATCTCAAAGTCTGAATCTCGAAACTTTAGTATTCAAAAATCTAAAAACCTCACGATCCAGTATCCGAGAATTTCAGAATCTTAAACTTTCTAAATTCTTAATTCATTTTCTTTTCAAAATTCCTCCAATCTCGATTTTTGAAACTTTCGACTCCTCGATCTTCCACTGTTTACCCCATATTCTAACCCAAAAACGTCTAAACTTTTCTTTTTTTCATTTTCCGGTTCCTCATTCCTGAAAACTTCTGTTGTCCGAATCCGATTCCGAATAACGCAGCTGAAACAAAAATTCTTATCCTATGAGAACAACATATCTGTCTGACATGTGTATGTGTGCTCACAGAGCCACCCCACTATTTTTCAATTAACTTTTTTTTTCTCCCCTCTCAACTTCTTGAAGCCACGCCCACTTTTCGAGGAGTAGCAAAACATTCCATCTCGGACATTCCATCTCGAGTTCATCGGGACACTTTTTCACACTTCGATGAGCAATTTGTGTTTATTAATAAGCAAAATATATGTTCCGTTGTAAGGGAGGTACAGCTACATTACAATGACTACAATTCTAGATTCCTGAGATGTTGGCTGAAATAAATTTGAATTAAAAAATGTCAGCTGTTTTTTTTCCAATGTTTAATTCCACAAAGATTTGTTTCTAATCAAAGATCCCTGTCTCTCACATTCATTGTTCTAATTCGTAATGAGCACTTTCTCTGGTGGATACTAATGTGCCGCGTCATCTGATGAAATGGGGAGTATTTGGTTACAATATATAAAACAAATATTACTTCAGAATTAGCCTTTTTATGAACACTTGACTCTTGGAGTTTGAGCTAATTTTATTATGAGTTATGAGTGTTCAGTAGAATAGTTCCTAAGCGTTCCTTGCTGCTTGGATTTTTGAGCCTTATAGTTTGACCGCCTTAAAATCCTAACACTTTAACTATCAGAAATGTTCGTAAAGATTATATTTTATACAAGCTTTTCAAAAGTTTACAGGCTGTCACCGGGACGGACACACGCCTCTAGCGTTTTATTTATAAGGAAGATCTTTTTGTTCTGAATTTTCATCAGAAGCCTCTTTCTTGTTCTAAACGGACGATTGACGGCTGAACGGTGGCTCAGCCGGTAACGGCATGGCACCTCTAACGGCGGCCCCACAAGTTCAACTCCTCGAGGGGCGTAGATGAACAAAATTTCGAGGAAATTAATTTTTAAGCCCCCATTTAAAGATCATATTATTTAATCTCTTTGTTCTAATATCCTGCATTTCTTTCCAGATTAACATTCAAATTAGGAAATCCTTCATTTTCCAAAACTTTAAACTTTTCAATAATTTCATTTTGGTTCCGCTTCCTCCACCAACTATACAACTTCTCCATGGTGAAAACCATTTATGTCAATCCTAACTAAGCTAGCGTCACCCTTGTTGCCCCTGGTATCCGTCAAAAAAGTCGTTAGGGAGGGGTGAAAAGTGGGCGGAGCCTAGCGCATCTGAATCTTATATAAACCGAGTCTACGATGTCCCCTCACCGTTCCTTTGGGGACTTCTTCTTTTTCACTGCGTCAACTAGACTACAAAAACAGTCACCACCACGTCAGCCTCATTGGTCTGATCTTAGGAAAACTTCTTAATCCAAGGGCATTTGAAGTTTCCAAAATTTTTGGAAGAAGGGCTTCGTCCCGCCCTTTTATCATATTACATCACATATCTCTTCGACCGCCTACATCCGGAAGAAGAATCATTTTGTTTTTAAGAGTTCGTAGTCTGATTAGCTCTGTCAGAAACCGATGAAACCATCAGAAACACTTTTTGCACTTTTCTTCAATTTCCTCTTGCTTTCTAATTTCCTCTAAACTTCATTCTTCTTGATTTTTTTACTGACCAGGAACTCTTCTTTCTTCTTTTCTTTTCTCTTTTTTCCGTTTGATCCTTCTAACTCGACCCTCAATAAATTATGTTTCAGGTAACAAAAGCGACATGAGTCAGAAGCTTCTTTCAATATCTCCACTTCGGCTGCTCTTTCTGCAGGTGTGCTGAGAAAGATTTATCGGAATGTTTATCTCTTTTTTTTCATTTCAGTGCCTTCTCATCGGTTTCGCCGTCTCCTATCCCTATCTGATCTTCCCAGCATCGCCATCTTCCGGGTAAGCATCTGAATTTCAGATCATTTTCAATTTGATGTGTTTTTCAGTGACTCCCGCCGTCTTGTGAAGAGAGCATTCGATCGATTCGATAACTCTGGAGTCTTCTCGTTCGGCTCAAAACGATTCGATCGGTATGAGGAGGAGAATCCGTACGGATACAACTTCGGCGCTCATATCTTCAAGCGATCTGCGGATCCATACCGTTTTATGACGGTTCCAACGAAGAAGGCATTCGATAGAATGGACAACAGTGACTTCTTCGGTGCCAAACGGAAACGATCATTTGATAGAATGGGAGGAACCGAATTCGGATTGATGAAGAGAAGTGCACCGGAAGATAGAGGTAAATCAATTAGTCTTATGGCATTTACTGTAATTACTCCTATTTCAGAACAACTAATCGACAGTCTCACCGACTCAATCTTGGCTCTCCGACGAGCTCGCGAATCGGAATCATCTGGAACAACTCAACCAGTCGCCATCAGCTACGAGGACTAATGTGGAACGTCTTCTCTCTCCATAATTTAAAAGTACACTAGATCTCTCTAGGGCTGGATCTCTCTCTTTCTCTCTCTCTCTCTCTCTCTGCAAACTTTTTTCTCGAATTTAGCTGTCTTATCCCCCTTCCGTTCTCTTGATCCGCCTCGTCTTCTTCCTCGTTCCGATCTGTTTATGGATACAATTCTCTCAATCTCACGCCCCCCTTGATTTGCGTTGGATTTCATGTTTTGTGAATAACGTCTGACTGTCTATACTGTCAAACTCATCTATTCTATAAAGTTTTCATTGGTTTTTCGTTTTCTGTATTCAAAAAAAGGAAAAAACAAAAACTAGTGGGTGTTAAAAATCCAGTCATGGGTTCGAATTGTAGGGGAATGACGGATTATTCGTAATACTACAAAATGTTGATTTTCTGATTTCAAACTAGAAAAAATGCAACAATTGGGTAATGCCGATAATATAGGAATGAGATCAACAATTTTGGAATATTGATTTTTGTGGTATTTTGTCAGTATAATTCCTTGACCAGCTGGACCGGCAGGACAGGACAATTTTTGGCCGTTGAACCATTTAGTCGGATTTTAGGCCGACTTTAGGCTATTCCAGACCGAATCTAAGCCTTTTTAGACCTATTATTTATTGGCCCACTGAAGTACTTTTTGGGCAATTTTCGGATACCACCAGTGCAGGGCTGTGCCATGGCCGGCCGCGGCATACTGAAAAAGGTACTTCTGACTAGGGAATGGTCAGAATTTATCTCGCGATCGGTGAAGTGGAAAGAAGTGGATCCACTGGAAAGAAGGTTGTTTCCTGATTTCAGAACAGTTTTTAAATTTTGCTGAACGGCCCGGAGAGCCGAGATATTCGTGCTCCAAAATCAAGCGATAAACCATGAAAATCTCGCTTTTGACTTTTTGATTTGCTGCTTCCCTCTCCCTATTTTTCTTCCCTCGAACACCTCATTCTTATCTGTCCACAATGGCAATTACAAAACGTTGTTTGGTGGCCGAGTGGTATGTGCGCTTGTCTAGGAATCTGCTTTTGCGGGTTCGAACCCACCTTTTTTTAAACATTTTTGCTTTTGTGTTATTTATCATTCAATAATTTTTTATACTTTAATCATCATTTTTAGCATCCTGTACCCGTAGGAAGCCGCCCTGACATTTTCACAATTTTTTTTCCAATTCTGGGTTTTTTTTCTTATCAAAACCATGTCAAAGGAATAGGTAAATTACCGAAAATCATGATGAAAAGTTCGAACCCGCAAAAGCAGATTCCTAGACAAGCGCACACACCACTCGGCAACCGAACAACATTTTGTAGTTGTCATTGGTGACGGATAAGAATGAGGTGTTTGAGGGAGGAAAAACAGGGAAGGGAAGCAACAAATCAAAAGCGAGATTTACATGGTTTATCGCTTGATTTTGGAGCACGAATATCTCGGCTCTCCGGGATATTCAACAAAATTTGAAAAATGTTCTGAAATCAAGAAGCAACTTTCCAGTGGATCCATTTGTATGTCCCGATCGCGAGATAAGTTCTGACAATTCCTTAGTGAGATAGGTAAGGGCGGACTTGCGGCCCTAGTAGTTTCTGGGTAGCTGAGCTTATTTTCGGAAGGACGGCCGCATTGGTCCAAGACAACCTACTCACGGCCTCGGCCGCGGCCGCGTTTTGCACAGCCTTACACCAGGATAAACTGGACCATTTTGGCATTTTTGGTTTACTTTCGGGCTTATTTTAGACCATTGAAGGTCATTTTTAGCTATATATTTTTTAGCTTTTGTTTTGTGAAAACTTCTGCTCCTAGCAAAAAAAACCATCAAAATACAACTCTTCAAATTAATCAGCAATTTTCGTCTCTACGTTTTCTATTCAAAACAAAATCATCGTGAGGGAAAATATTCCACAAAACATGAAAACAACCACCTCGGAAACCACAAATATTCTTCTAACTATTCCCCAGAGTGACTCATCACTTTCAAAGTGAATCCAAGACAGAAAACAGAGGACATAAACTGTTTTAATGTGTGTGGGCAAACTAATTAATCAATCGCGACACGTTTTCAATGAGTCAATCATGAAGTTAAGCTCATCGGATTTTGGAAGGAAAGTTGAACACTTGGACGCAGGATTTCTCGATTTGTATTTTCTGTTCAGGAGTTTAGGGGGGGAGGGGGGGGGGGCGGCTTTCGAACGGAGGTTCTGGTCGGAACAAAAAAGGATGTGTAGCGACTCATGGTCAGATTTAAAATAACACTCAGATAGCCGAGGGGCCGACTGTAATTTGGTTATTCTCAATTGTATTTTTATAAAGAAATCTTTTTGGTCGACATTAAAAGAGAAAACTGTAAATGCTCTAATAGAATCCCACCTTATACGTTAATTTTGAGCTCAGTTATTTCGGTTCGTTTAGAGGAAATCAAAAATTTATCAACTGATAAAATGTTTTTCGTAAAATTGCCAACATTTAATTAGTTGATAACTTTTTGAAATCTTTCACAGGAATCGAGATAATTAGGATCGAAGTTGATGGTCTAGGTGGACTTCTACTAGAGGAAATAAGGGAAGAATTTTTGAACATTCCTAAATTTGGTTATTTTTAACTTGATTTGAAAAACAAGAATTTTTAGTCACTATTCAAGAACCATAGGTTTTGTAATGACCCAAGGTTTTTTATCTGTGATTGAGTAATTTGGATGCCATGAATTCTGAGCTATTTTTAAAGTGTCATCTATCATTGGGAACATTTTGATCTCTAATGATCAGGATATCATCTTGAAGAGGCCGAAAAAATCACACCATCAATCCGTAGTGTCTCGTTTTTCTCTGCAGATAGGAACCTTTTTCTTTGGATGCTTCCGAATGAGTCATCTCGGGGGATATGTTCGTATCAAATATCATTTATCATTTCTTCTCTTTTTTCAATCTTCCTCCCACATAGAAATCCTCATGCAACCTTTCTCAATTGCAAATATTCTTTGGGGTCTGACCATGAAATCTCTCTTGAGAGAAATCAAACAGTGATTGAAAGAGAGTGAGTGAGAGAGAGATATATATATATGTAAGACGGTTGAAATTTGAAGAATTTTTTTCACAAGTATAAAAATAGCTCGAATTGATGATTTCCTGTACCATGTAGTATTTATTTCATTTTCACCATATTTCTGAATTTTCTGTACAAAAATTATAAATATTCCAGAAATTAGTAAAAGTTATAGAAAATGTTTATTTGATGGAACTGAAAATGATTTTGAACAAAAATAGGTGGACAAATTAAAATTGGACAGTGTAGACAGTTGGGACAGTGTGGATAGTGTAGTTCCAGTTTGCTCAAATCCAGGTGACAACCAATCTTCCTGCATTTTGAACTTTTCGTTGCTCTGGGCATTCTTTTCTACTACAGGTACATAATTTGTGATAACTGAAAATTTTGATTTTTTGAGACTATGATTCTATATAACATTTAATCCGGCGTTAACAGTAAGAATTTTTGATTATAAAAAAAGTTTTATCAGACAAATCAAAAATTCGTTCATACAAAATGAAGAGTAAATCATTGCGGTTCTGTTGAGCTATAGAACTCCTAGAAATCTCAAAAACTGAAAGAGGAGATACATTTTTCTGTAAAAAACTTTCGAAAATGGCCATTTTTGAAATTTTTTCTTCCGGAAAAGGACCATACCTGACTTTATAACCCCTAAATGATTTTTTAAGAATCATTTGAATCATCTTCAATCTCCACAAAATAAGATAAAAAATTCTGAAATTATGGTTTTAGACCTGCAATTGTGATCGCGCCAATTTTTTTTCCTATAGATCAAAAATTAATTTGCAGTTCGGAAATGTTCTGTGGGAGATCGTGGAGAGAGAGAAAAAAAATAAATAATGGAATGTGGAGAGGGATTTAGAGGTGAAGGATGATATGGCAGAGAAGAACACCACACGTGATCGTATTGGTACGAAAACTGGCAGGTGGTCTGAAAAAATTTGGCAAGAAAAACAAACTAGTACAAGTGAAATGAACAGGTCTTCGATATCTTTTTGGCAACCGAGGTAATTTAGCTTATAGTGCACTTACGTATAGGGTAGGATTCTATCAGAACAAATACGGTAATCTTATTAAAAAATAGTTGAAGTTCCTAAAATGTGACCGTATTATAATATTTTCTTATAATTAAACTTTTTATCTGAATTACATACATTTTCCGTTTCCCAATTTTTTCTTGAAATTTGGGAGATGAAAAATCAGAACATAAACAAACGGAAATTGACTTTCGAACAGCTGATTATTCAAACATCCATGAAATAGTAGAGGTCTTATTAGGTGTTTTCTGAGAATCTTTTTAGATTGACTAATGAAATCAAGATCATTTTTTTCAGTTTGTTCAGTTTAGAAACAACTTTAATTTCAAGAAACGAAAATAAGTATACCGTAAAGCCCGTATTAGAAACAGAAGGCCCCTCTTATAGAAGGGACCTCCTAGAGGAGATTGGAAAAATAGAAGGGCTTATTTCAGAATATTTTGCGTTAAAAATTGAAAGTTTCGTTTGTTTTCAGTGAAAAACATTTTGGAAATTTCACATTTTACTGAAATTTGTTGCAAAATCTTTCTAGCTGAAAAGTTTGCTCAGTTTTGGTGAAATTGATAGATTTTCATAATTTTTTTTGAATTCGCCGAGTTCCGTGAAGAAAACGTTTAGGAAAAATGACCGAAAAAATAGACGTTTCCTTCTAAATAAAGAGCATAATAGAATAGCCGGTCCCCCCTCGAATGCAGGGTTTACAATATTTGAAATTGTCATGGATTCTACTCGAACATCTTCTCTTCACTTTGTGTTCCATCAATTCGGCAACTTTTTTCATCTCATTCCACATTGCCTACCCGTATGTTTATCATTTTATTTGCTCATTTTCCAACAGGAGCCACCACAGTCTCCACGCACCAGTCAATCTGAGCACACAAGAAGAGATGGAATCGCTTCGGGATATATGC